ACTGGACCTTAGAGGTCAAACATTAAACATTTAGTAATTAAGAATCTAATGTGATTACTTTAAAGCTTTTACGTTTTCACTCCATTCACTCCATTCACACAATTTTGCATTAAAGCGTACCTACCAAACTTACCGTCGGCACCTTCTTATCTAAGCCATTACGGTAATAAATTATACAATGGTTAATTATTATGCGCACTGTATACTGCAGCAGTTAACTAAAATGGTTCAAATTAACATACAAGACCTGAGGCCTAATGTTAAAGCTACAACAGTATAACCAACAATTTACATAAACTAGTTATACGGTTAATATATAAGTAAACTAGCTGTGCCCGCGACTTCGTACGCGTGAAAATAGTTTGAATAATATTTCCTGTTTTTGCAACCTTTTAATTTACTGCTCCGCCCCTATTGGCTGTAGGATGATGTTATTATAGCCTAGCCTTCCTCAATAAAATATTTTTTCAAATCGGAGATAATAATTCCTGAGATTAAGGCGATTACACTGCACCGCGCTCCGCCGCGGTACGCGGGACGACAGATTTAATTATTGTATGCAAGTAGGTACCTCAGTTTGTATAGAAAACACGCGCGGCACAACACACTGACAACGCGTCTGCGCGCGGGATTTTTTATATGTCATATCAGAATCGCGGTGGAGCTCGGTGCAGTGTGATAATCATCTAAAGCAAACAAACAAACTCTACAGCTCATAATATTAGTATAGATACTGTTAATGTAATAAGTAAATAGAGCACTTTCTCCCATATAGAACTTCAATGCATAAGGGACAACCCGTTTTTCGCCTCAATGAAAGGGTTTGAGCGTGCGTTAAGAAAATTCATAGTAAAGTAATCTAATAGATTTATCCGCAGCCGCTCGCTTGAATTCCAATAAGTTTATTGAGTAAATATAAAATAGCGTCATAAAATTTTTGCTGCGGTTTATACTTATTGCGTTGCGTGTTACGATTTTTGTTTTATGCTCAAAAATGTTTTTATTATTTTTTTACGTTAACAATATCTATAATATTTTTCATACTATAACTCGATGCGCAGAATGCAATAATAATATACATTGTTTAAGACTTAGTCTAGGCGCAGACCATCGACTTTTTGTCGGCCGATGGTTGGGTCGGGCTTTTAATCAGTATGTATGAAAGTGCGCACATTGGATCGGCCGATTCTTCATACAAATGAAAATCGGGCACAACTATCGGCCAACTAAAAATCGATGGTCTGCAGCTCAGCTTAGTAATGTTTTTTAATTCTATAAATTCCACATAATAATAGAAAGGCATGGCATGTACTCGTATGTGTAACACTTGATGATGCATTTCTACAATCTGTCATACTTTTTCCATAATAACATCAACAATCTTGGCCAAGTGCATCGTGTACCCATGACCTTATTCTCCATCACTTTGCATCCATTACCAATTCAGTGATCCAGCCCCCAATCGGTCAATTTGGACTGACACGCGACCACAATCCCGTATCTGGAGTAGTGATCATGAAAATTTACGACGTGCCATAGAACAGAGACGCACAGACGCGCCGACGCCCTATAAACAAAACTAAATGCCCTGTCTGACACGGTCTGTGGAAATTACTGGCTTGGATTAAATGGTCATATTTAATACCAATGAGTTCTACTAAATACTTGATAGAACTACAGGAAATTCTAGAAACGGGGTACCTATTTGAAACTTTTGTAATGAAGTTATCAGTTTGAATTTAATTTCCAACTCGCCGACTTTTGACATGTTAGCAAAGGTCACAGAAAATACAAGTCGTCGATGTGTAGTTTTTACCCGACTGCGCCAGAAGGAGGGTTACGTTTTTAAATAAAGCCGCCGACACTAAGCCAGCTGGATTTAGTGTGTAGAGTTCTTAAGCTTAACTGACTTTGAATATGTAGTTAAAGTTCTATTTTATTCATATTCATTAATAAGTTCACCAAACTAGCTGTAACGACTTCATAATAGGGAAAAGAGAGTTACAAATAGTTCCTAAGGCTGGGTTGCACCATCTTACTTTAACTTTGACAAACGTCAAAAATCTGTCAAACTCCATACAAAAACCACCAGTTATCGTCAAAGTTAGGTGGTGCAACTGAGCCTTAGTGTAACGAGTACGTTTTACACCACGTCGTGTAGTAACAGAACACCTCACACGTCTTAGCCGAATTAAGAAGACCACACAGTTTAATCGCCAAAGCCTTACAAATAACTATTAAGAGCAACACTTCCAAGTAAAGGTTCGGCCAAACCATCGCGCGCAGCCTGCGTGCGTGATGACGATCAGATGTCGTGTATGAATTTCTAGCGATGAGTCTTATCAACGCGTTCTGTCATCATTGGTCGCGGCGATCCATGCACGCGCAGTGATCACCATCGATATCGTTGACCGCGAGTTGCACGCGTTGGTGTGGCCCACAGATCACAGAAACTTTAGGGAGATGAGACAAGGGGGCGGGGCCGGTGTCGCAGCAATATGCCCAAAAACAGAACACATTGCTCGTGACAGCAATGATGACAGCAGCGCCGTTATAATGTAAACAGTTTACATTGAAATGATTATTCGAACGTTGAGTACTGATACCGCAATGGATAATGAACACATATTTTGATTACTTTGTGTGTGTAAATTTCTAATGCGACACTGAGTTTCAAACTGAGCGCATTGGCATCTCTCTATATCTCTATGGTTTGGCCGAAGCTTTACAAACGAACTACTACGAGTAAGGACAACACTTCCAAGTAAGCCGCACAGTAATCTTTGATAGCAACAGTTGATCCACGTTCTTCAAACTATGGGAACCCATAACTCTCTGTCCGCAAAGTTCTGGAAACTTCTGCACTAACGGAGCGCTGAAAGGAAATTAATAAACCTTCCCGTGATCACTCAAGGTATTCCGTGTATAACGAAAGATTGCTTAGGCTAAGTTGCACCGCCTAATTTAAACGGTAACTATAACGATAACCGGTGCTTTTTGTATAGAGTTTGACAGATTTTTGACGTTTGTTAAAGTTAAAATAATATGGTGCAACCCAGCCTTTTACAGTGCAAAGCATAAATGACGAATCGGGACTTCATTTTTTAAATAAAGTATTTAAAAAACATACTAATAGTCCCGTTAACCTATTGAGCTTTTGTTACGAGTGGATTCACCATAATACCTAGTCCAGTTGCGATGATGTGATAGACAGAAATGCATAACGTGAAAAGCCGCAACCAGAAGCTAGTTAGACTTAAATAAAGTACCCTTTTAGTGAGGTATTGCGTGATCAAGAGTAAGCCCTTTCAATAAAACGGTACTCCTAAACTAATACACTTAATCAAACGTGTTGGTTATCAAATCAACTCGTTCCATCTGTGTGCTTACCATGAGTTTACGTTAGGTGTGCTCGCTAGCGACTGCGTAAAAACATGACATTAATTGTATGACATATTGTGCAGCGCCCATAGCGGCTACTTTCAAGAAACAAAATCTTCATAGAGATTTTTAACGTACTCGCTAGCGAGCACACCTAACGTAAACTCATGGTAGGTACACTGATTGCGTTAAATAAATCAAATTACACGTCTGGTTTCGAGTTGGTTATGCAGTGTATAGAAAACTCATTACAAAACACACAAGAGTTTACTGAATTAAGTTAACTCCGCCCGAGCGCCGTCAATTTCGGGGAAATTCCAACTCCATCCAACAAGTATGAGGAACTCAACAACTCTTTATTGACTGTCCTGGTTTGCTGCTTGTTTTGACAGACTTGGTCACTTACTTTTAGTAATTAACGAGTTTATTTTAATTAATATAAAGTTGAATTTCTCATTGTAACTTCTTAGTTTTAGATAAGAGTTAAATTCACTCTGTTTGCTATTTTTCTATTTTCCACGATTCTCGCCTCCTCTTGTGACTTTGATTAAATATTGAAGCTTTATAAGTACGCTAGTTATTAATGAAAATTAACCCAAAATGTATGATATTGCTTATTATTTTTTTGGTCAGGAAAACATTTAAGAAATTCACTTTCCGTAACTTGCACGCATGTAAAATCTCAAGGCCAGTAAGTGCTCAAAAATTAATGAACAACAACCCGTTATTATTATAAATTAATTAAAATTTTCGAGTGTTAAATCTCTTTGTCTACTCCAAACATTGCCAACCAGTTTTATGTTGATAATAAAGTGACAGGATTCTAAAGCCTTTGTTTTGTAATGATGGACAGGATTTAATATAACGGTATTAATATCTACGGTTATAATGTACAAAAACCCATACAGCTTATGCTAATAATTATAAATATCGGCTTTATCCATCCTTTTTTATCATGTTCGTTGTACAGTCTTTGTATCAACTCACGAGACCATACAATTTAGTTCCTAATCACACACATGCCTATTACTTCGCCTGTATTTGCCTGTAAATACGGTACAGTCAGCGTCAAAGATTCGTGACACCCAAAGTAGCCAAAAATTACGCAACAAGTCTTTGTTACAATTGGAATAAGGTTGTGTTGTCAACATTTTGGCCATTTTGGGTGTCACGAACTATTATTTGACGCATTAATTTTTGACCAACGGCAAAAACCAAATACACCAATCCGTCAGATAGTACAACGACCTGCGCATATAAAACAAAAAATCAACATAAAAAAAGTTCAATTAAGCACAGCAAAACTTTCGTCAACATTATGAGACTCGCAGATTAAAATACCTACGTATATTATGAAAGTAGGCTTATAAAAAGCTCTACACGTCCCAGTATTATTTTAACTCTACCACTGCTTCAGGACAGTCGTCCTCACAACAGTGAGTAGAGAACAACAGTTCTCAGCACTGAATTATTTTGTCATAATAATTCAGTGCTTAGAAGAAACAGCACAAGAAACATCAGGTGAGATACAGTTCAAGAGCTTCCTCGTTGTGAAAAAATTAGTCAATCTACTACAAACTTGTATCTTATTTTGAGGATCGTACAGTAATAATGCTTACCAATAGAAATGCTGTTCAAGATAAGCATCAAGGAACCACCGTATAACCTGAAACAAAAAAGAACAATTAAACAAAAGATCCACAAATTCCAATCTGCATTGATATCTGAATAGCCGTTTTATTGTAAAATATTGTGTGTTACGCGTGACTTCTCAATAACACTCAATTAAGATAGGAAAGATTCCAGCCGCTGCCCGTTATTGACTTTATTGCATAAGTCCCGCGTACCATTCGTTCATGTGCATTTCAATCAAGAGCTCTATAAGGCTGGGTTGCACCATCATACTTTAACTTTGTCAAATTCCATACAAAAAACACCGGTTACAGTTAAAGTTACCGTTCAAGTGAGGTGGTGCAACTCAGCCTAAGTGATGTAAAGTTATCGGTGTAGAGAGTATTTAACAGATTAATGGATTTGTAACATAGATTGAATATTAATATTTTAAACCGCAATATAATTATTAAGATTTTTAAGTATTTGTATGATACCAAAATTATTAATAAAATTGATAATACGACAAATTTTAATGGACGAGTTTTAAGCATTTGTATGATATTAAAATTATTAATAAAGTTGATAATACGACGAATGGATGCGTACGTTATTGGCTGTACCCAACTAAGTGCATCCTATATTAGTTAATTAATTTGTTATTTTTAGTGACATAAGAAATGTACAGATTATAAGCATAAGTTTGTAATTAACTGAAATAAATTAAAAATGAGTTTTTATACAACTAAATTAAAATCTATAAAACATTTATTTTCACTCATAACAGTGTACAGCAATACTGTTATGTTTTCATTGGTTGAATAAATTGGTTCGTTCTGCAAAATGTTTTTATTACCATACCATTTTACCACAAAAGCACGGAAATATTAGCGATATTGTTTTAGAACCACTAAAAATAACAAATAAACCGAGTACTCTACCAAATTGGTTTATTAATTTAACTATTGTACAATAAAGACTGCTCATCAGTACTATTATTTTGATATTGAGTAAACAAACTGGTACAAATTCATTACAACAAATTGGCACAATCATTACGAGCAAAAATGTGCCATTATTTATGTCATTTTGTTCGTGTAAATACAAGTCGAGGACGCTATATTTTTTAGTAGTCAAAGTCAACATTTCTTTATTTGTATATGTCATAGTCAAAGGTCGATATGCAGTCTCTTCGCGGAATGACTGGTCTATCCTAGGTTTGACCAAGGCCTTCAGGCAAACCCCGAAGTGAATTCTTATTTCGGCCTTTGACTAAGTCAAACCTAGAAGTGCCTAAACTGTCCAGTCAAACGTCGAAACTAAAATAATCTGTTTCGGGCTTTGCCTAGTCAATCCTAGAAACGACTGGCAGACTCGGTCAAAAGTAGACGGCAAATAGAAAACCGGCCAAGTGCGAGTCGGATTCGCTCACGAAGGGTTCCGTGAGACATTGTTGTTGTATGGGAGCCCCCCATAAATATTTATTTTATTTTAATTTTATGATTTATTTTTAAAGTAGATATGCAACTAAATATTATGTAAATATTTCAAGGGTTCACCTGTTTACGTTTTAATATCGAGTAGAAAACTGCAACAAGTCACTTTTGCTGTATGGGAGCCCCCCTTAAATATTTAAGTATTTTATTGAATTATTTATTTTTAAAGTGAATAAAAAACTAAATAATGATAAATTATGAGATACGAATCTCATGAATCATTTTCAAAATATTTAGTTACGTGCCTGGTGATAGACGACAACCTTTAGCGAAGTCATAGTAATAGGGTCGCGTTTTAACTCTTTATCCTTTAATTTAAGGTAACAGAACCCTAAAAATTAGTAATTTCAAGATCGATCTAGAAACACTGACAAACAACCTCAGTAAATAAGTTTAGTTACTCGTACCTTCACCTAAACCGACCGTAACGCCTATGCAATAAGTTCAAGATCAGAATGAAGTATAGTTTAGTTTAAAGTCTTCATTGAGGTTTGACTAGTCAAACCCCGATTTCATTAAATTGAGTTTCGACCTTTGCCTGACCATATTAGTTACTCCTAGGTTTGACTAACATTCTTTAGTCAAAGGCCGAAATGTTTGGGCTTTGACTAAGTCTTCTAGTCAGACCTGAGGATTGACTAGTCAAACCTAGGAGTGCCGGAACTTCGAGGTTTGACTATAACATATAGACTATTTATTTAAATTGTACCAGTAGTACAAATCGTCAAATACTTTGCTCAGGAGCCTCTACATGTCTCAATCTTTTTACCCTACCAGGCGCATCGAGACTAACATTTGGCAAGTGTTGAGAAGAAGCGCCGCAACAAACTCAGTCACCACTGTCTACCGGTTGATAATATAAATAAATAGAAATAGCAGTAGTAGGTGCATGATTCAGTGTGTCACCTCTCATATATTATTATTTTAATAGGTATAGTGACAGTCTTTCTTTCGACGGCCAATCTCATAATAACAGTAATTATAACATTTTAAAAGGGCTACGTTATATTTTTGTAAAATAATAATGTAAACCGGCCAAAAAGATAGTTGGAAACAATTTCAGAATAATTATTTATCTAAAACTTTTGGCAGATTCATAATTTTTTTGTTAGTCCTCCATAAAGCTTTACCTCAATCGGCTTATTCAAAATTTCAAATTAATAGTCAGAAAAAAGCTTGTGTATTTAGTATGCAATGAGAAAAAGGTACTTAATTAAATATCATTATGTCTACTAAATTTTTCAACATTTTTATGACCTTGATTGAATAAATAGTCTGGATAATCTTTTTATCTGAAAAGTACAATTTTTAAAACTCTATCAAAGAATTTTATTAAATTAAAGTAAAATAAAGGCTAATTTCCAACTTCAACTATAAAATCAGACCATGTTTTTTGATTGAAGATGCAAACAGAGAAAGATCTGTTGGCATGTACAGACGACCGCTTAAGCTAAACACAGTGGCGTCTTATTTCGTTATAATACAGGCTATTTTGCAAAAAAAATGTATATAGTCTAATGTGTTGTCGACTGTACTTAAAAATTACAGTTTTTAATCAAAGTCACGTCAATCTCCTACTATCATAAATAAGTTTATTCGACGGGAACAATATTTGAAGGCTTATCTGACACTTCGTGCGAGTTAATATTTTTCAAAGAGAGAACGAGGGCCGTGCGAATCCATGTTAGTCCAGTCTCCGGACTTCGTTTGATTTTGTTTTTTCGTATCACATATCGAGCTTCGACTTGCCGGCTTAATTTGCGGGAGTATAGGAAGCTTGTTTAATGTTTATGTTCCTTGCCTCAAAGATCCATGGTTCTCAATTACAGTCTTTTTGTCACCACATAAACTACATAATTATGATCATACTTGTAGCCCTGATTCAGAATACTGTGGTAATAACGCTCCATCTGGGCGTAGTCTGGTAAAGACACAAACGATATAGAGAACATTTACATGTGTGTAGATTTACCTGTTGGCATTAAAATTTACTGTTTTCATGAAGTGAGTTTCTTACATCGTCCAAGAAGACATTAAATTTTCCTTTTAACTAGTTTTTCACCTGCTGGTTTATTGTTACACTAGGTGAGTACCATAAATAGGTACGTTCGTTAGTTTCAGCCGAAAGACGTCCACTGCTGGACAAAGGCTTCTCCCAAGGATTTCCACAAAGACCGGTCCTACGCCGCTCGCATCCAGGCACCTCCCGCGACCTTCACCAGATCGTCGGTCCACCTAGTGGAAGGCCTGCCATAAATTGGTATTTGTAGTAAAATTATTCAGCTAAAGATTGCTCGCCCCAAATAGGCATTTTGTTTGGTCATATAGTGGAGGAATATAACACAGGTGTACGTTGAAAACAGCTGGCTGGATCACAATGAAGGTTGTGTTGAATATGCTATTGTATCGGACCTAATTGCAAGTGTACTTGAGATACGTGCGGAGAAGTATTGTGTTCCCATTGTCATTCGGATGATCGCTGATGTGAGCAGAAAAAAAAACAGATTTAACTGTATACCAGACTCACGACTAACGAATTATTGAGATATTAGATCGATGTAAATGATGATTTTGTTTTAAATAATCGCCAAGTGAACAAAAATCTATGTTATAAATACGAGTAATAACAATTTAAATATCAATGTAGTCAGAGAGTAAAAGAACTAATGTGGCACTTTTTTTATGCCAATAACAACTAATGCAATAGACTTCATCTAAGCTGTCAGCAAGTCAAGAGATCGCTACACAGAAAAAGGTAACTGAGAAATAAAGAAAAGTCTAAAAATATATTTCTTCTGATAAGTAGCGTATCTATCTATGTTTGCCCTTTCGAAGAATTCTCAGAAGGTTGGCAAAATTGCCGCTCTCTTAGAAACTCACACTCGTATTCAGAAAGTTTGTAAAGTCTATTAGGAAACCCACTCACAAAAAACTTTATAAATTTGATGTTTATTTGCAAAAATAGGTACAAGCACCAGCACACAAGCTTATTACAACTACAAGTCAACCGCATCCGTACAAAAAGGCAACAAAAATTAACTCCACCGAAATGAACCCAACGTGAACATTTCTTATGTTAATAAGATTTTTTGACACTAAAACTGTTTGTATAGGTTCGGAAACAGTTAAGGACTAATTAATTCCAAACAGTCCTGTACAAACTGTACCCGTTAATGTGAAGTCCTTTGGCAAACTGTTTTAAATACTCCGAATATAAAGAACCCATTAAAAATTCTAATTTACCATTTAAATGTCAGTATGTCAGTCTCTTTCAGTATTTAACTTGCTAGTCACCAGTCTGTTTGTAACCACGACTGTAACTGAATAAGCTCTAAATACTCATGAAGAACTACTTTACATTAAATGTTCACATTCAGACCCATAATTCTCTATTGTCATTTGTTAGCTATTATTTAGTTTTTTAATTACAAATTCGTCTGTAGTCAATGAACAGTAATTTAACTATTATTATTTCAACTAGAGGTTCAAGTAGACGAAACAATTTCAATCAGCATTTTAGTGTGGGCGATAACAACTATAATTACGAACTATTGTCTGT